GCCAGCCGGCCATTTTGAATCTTATCTGAAAAACAAAATTATTTGCATGAAGGGCCCATAATGTTAATGTATATACAAAGTTTGAACAAAATCCATCTGTAAACAGCCGAGAAATGCTGGATTTTAGGATTTTTCAGCACAAAATGGACGCCATTCGGCCATCTTAAATCAGATCGTAAAAACAACATGTTGTGCATCAAGGTCCTATAATTTCCAACGTATATACAAGGTTTGAACAAAATCCATCTATAAACAGCTGGGAAATGCTTGATTTTGATGATTTTTAGCACAAAAATGGCCGCCATTCGGCCATCTTGAATCAGATCATGAAACAAATTGACGTGCATATGTATGATATCATGTGTGATCTACCGGTATGTGTGAAGTTTGATTGTGATTGGTCCAGGCATTTCTAAGATACAGGTCCGGACGCACGCACGGACGCACACACGCATGCACGCATGCACGGACGGACACTCGGAGGTCAAAACATAAGTCCCCGTTTTCGGACTGCGTCCGAACGGGGACTAATAATATTGATATATAAAATGTGTAGCTAATGTACATGATATTTATTATTTTGTAGTTTGGATTGAAGCAGCTGATACAGCGCCTTTAATGTTCTGCTGTGTTTTTATGAAATAATTATGAATATATTTCAATTAATCAATTATGCATTTGGTCATCTTTATTTCCACGAAATGAAAATTAGTATTTCCTCCTTTGTTTTGAGAAATTTTAAGCTTGTTTATGAAGATATTTCTTGTATATTTGTAAAGATTGAATTTGAGCAAAAATGTGCCTTGTCTTTGATGTTTTGATTTTTACAAATAATTTTCTTTCTGATATATCAATATTGTTAAATATTGTACAAGTTTTGATCTTGGTGCAACGTGCAAAATTATCACTGGTGACTTTTTCGATACCTTCTAATCACCTAAGAAATTACAATTCTATTTTTACCTCCATGGTCTACGTAACAATCAAAGTCCCATATCTCGCGCATGCGTGGCACGATGACCACTGCCCTTTAAACTGTCTATTTTTGTGATTTGCTCCTTTATTATCATCATTTAAAGTTTCTGTAATATTGTCTTGGAATTTAATTTTAATTTTTTTAATCAAACCATTTCTGTCTTCAGATTTTACTTCTTCCCAAACATGTTTCATGTTCATTATAATATGGCCATGGACTTGATTACCATATTTGCTCTATTAGAAGTGTATCTCCAACAGTATCCGTACACACAAACCAAAAATTGCATTTATTTTATCTTCATTCACTATACTTGTACAGCTGTATTATTTCAGAAGTTAGTTTCCATGGTGACATTGTTGTATGCCATTTAGAATAAAAACACCAATTGAATGATTTAAAGCACCAGAATAGTCGTTTTGCTAGAAAACTGTCGACAGCTGTAACCATAACATCTTAAATCAGATCGTGAAACAAATGCATATGTATAATATCTTGTGTGATGTATGTGTGAAGTTTGATTGCGATTGGTCCAGGCATTTTTAAGATACAGGTCTGGACGCACGCACGCACGCACACACACACACACGCACGCACACACGCACGCACGCACGCACACACACACGGAGGTCAAAACATAAGTCCCCGTTTTCGGACTGCGTCCGAACGGGGACTAATAAAAACGTACAAATAAGACAGCATGACAAAAATTGCACTGATCACATTCTTCCAGTCCCCCCCCCCCCATGATTTTAAATGGTTGACAACTTGCATTGATTAAACACATCTCCCAAATGAGTAGAAAAATGCAGTCCATAGCCCTTTACTGTACAGAATGAATTAACATACCTGTACCACCGACGGCATACAAGATTCCACTCAAGTCCACACAGCCAAAGAACGCTCGTTTCACTTGCATCGGTTCAATGTAACTCCAGTGTCGGGCCACAGACGAAAAGACCTCAACAGATTGCAGATACTGGTTGTTATCTCGACCACCACACACTAATAGTTGGTCAGTGAATAGAGTAGCTGTACAACCTTGTCTTAGAGACTGCATTGGTTCTAGTTCTTCCCATTTATTAGATGCTACATTATACTTTTCAACAGATCCTAATACCTTCATAGAGTTAACACCACCTAAAAATAAATATATCAACTCAATATTTCCATTGTATAAAGTGTGACAGATGTTGAATGTAAAAATGTTTTCATACTAGTGCAGGAATGAACATGTTCAAACCCTGTGATTGGTTCAAACAATATGCATTTTATCATGGACAGTGGTAATGTAATGATGTACTGTGGAATATTATTTTCGCTCGAATTAATTTTCACTGAAAAGGCTTTTTGGGCGTTTTGTGTGGAATTTATTCTCACTGATTTTTGATGAGTTTAATGTGAAATATAGAAAAAAAAGTATATTCGCTGAATTTTTTTTTCATGGAATCATTCCTTCAGCGAAAATAGCGAAAATAAATTCCAAGTGAAAATAAAGTATTCTACAGTAGATGGTATGTGAAGGAAAAAAAACACAAACATAATATACTAACTGGAATATGATTGCAGTCAAAAATATTCACAAAATTCCCAAATCAAGTGTCCGTGATCATGATTATATCTGTTCTCTATAGTTTATTTACTTGTTTTGTTTTTTTGGAAATGCTAATAATTCACATGACTCGAAATTGCCAAGCAGTCAATTTGTTTTTATTTTGCCAATACAACAATTCTTACCAACAACATAAATGTTGCTAAATGTGGAGGCTATTCCAAATTCCGACCTGGATGTGTTCATACAACCAAACTGAATATCCTTTGTATCATTCTGGTCACTTTGAGGTAGATTACAGGTCCAAGAATTCTCATCCACAAAATAACAGTTGACAGTGTTCAATGTACTACCATTTGACTCACCACCTATGGCAAGTAAGCCCTGAAAACAATATTCAACAGATTAGCCATTTCCTGACAGAGAGTGAGTTACCATAGTCCAACTGGAGGTAGGAATTTTGTTTTTCTCAGAACTTTTAACTTCATGTCAGATTACATACCTCCTATATACACTTGCTATCGCTTTCAAGTATATGTCATGAAACTGGTCAAAACCTTGTGGTACACCCACCTCTGGGAGTGGGGTCGGGTGTGTGGGTGGGGTGGTGATTTCTAATTTTTTGCAGATACGTTTTACAGGTATGTAAATTTATAGTTTCAACTTATATGAACAGAATGTTGATTTTTATATTTCCAACTGTGACAGTAGAACATGTATGGCTTGTTGAAATACAAGGATACCTCAAAGTACGCACGAAGACAGTACAGAGCAACGGAAGTTGATGCGACAGCGTACTGTCTGAGTGCATACTTTGAGGTAACCTTGTAATAACCTTATTATTATACATCTTTTTCTTCCAAGGATACATCACGAGAATGCTGAAATCCAAAAAGTTTGGAATCAGCAAACTTCTTTGTGTGGAGTCCGGTCAAACCCTGGTGGCAGCCATGTTTGTTTTTATTGTTATTACGGCACGCTGTAACTTGTGCCGTTACGGGGACAGATGTATAATAATATTTGTTATCTTAACTACAGTTGTAGTATTTAATATATTAATTTGAATACAACAGTATTGTCTTGGTAACAAAACACAAATTAATAATATCTGTTCAACACATGCCTGGAATGAAATGGATGAAGCAGATTTTGGATTTTATACTTAGTATGTTGACCCTCTAAATTTGGGAGATACATTTTACAACAACTTATTTAGTTACCTTTGGTCTTTTTCCATAACATATTCTTTTGCCTTTGCCATATTTCAACATCACAGAGTGCACGTTATTAGCTTCTTGTAGCACACGCTGTATATCAAACAACATCTTACTACAATCAATGTCTTTGTTGAACACTACAGCCTCCTCTTTCAACTGCTCCTCTAGAAAGCTTGCCGACAACTGAAATAACCGGACATGCTCGATCAACGAATATAGGTGTACTGCTCGGACTTCGAGTCTAAACTTCACCCATGATACGACAGCCTTGAAGACCTCATTCTCATCTGGAACTCCAAGGAAATCAGAATCCAGAAGCTTCAGTAGCTCGTTAAATTGCATATGAAGGAATTCTTCTTCCTGCGCTACTTCGGAGAAGTGTTCAAGAATGTACTGATAGGCATTCTTTGTCAGGTTGTTACAGCAATGTGCATCTGCGAAATACCAGATACCAATACAGTTGCTAGAATGTAATTGTTTTTCTAGGAATCTACCACAAGCATTGCAGACTCCAGTTAACTGTAGCAAATTAGCACACAGCATTGTATTCTGTACATTTTCTTCATTGATCTTAAAGAGAAACAAGTCAAAAAGTATTTGTTTAATGCAGTGATGAGAACTGTGGTAGTTGGTCATTCTAGTCCTTAGTAAATTTTTAAATATTCCTGCTGTACTGCATACTCTGCGGCATCCCCGCAATAACCTCATAGTAGACAACATTGATCCATTTTTTATCAGGTTAATAAATCACCCATTATACTACCAGTATATGTAAGTTGAGAAATGAAAGATAACCAACCTTGATTTTTGAAGTATATATAAAATTAATAAGATCATTGATAGCCTGTGGGTCGACATCTTTCATTACAACCGTATGTTGATTACTTTCAGCTAACTGCCCAGTAAGCATGGCACGAAAATAAGGACTTGACGATAGTAACACTAATCTAATAAACAAGAAATACATTATTAGACATAGTGTATACAATAAAAAAAAGATGTAACATATTTGCTACGTTAAAGCTGGGATCCATGGTATCTTGGCACGTGTCAGAATTTTTAATCCTTTGTGTTTACAGAGAGATTACAGCAGTTGTGTTCCAGTTAGACAGGACCCACTTGGGACCCACTTGGCTCGTGTCGAAATCACGCCTTCATTCATTGATTTGTTTTTTGACCCAAACATGAAAAACCATACGCATATGATGATAATAATTGCTAATATTAATTGATGTAGCATAGCAACAAAACTCTGTTCACAGCAGTACATAAAATATGCGTCCCAGACGACGGTTTGCATTCATTTTCTTTATTAGTGCAGCATCTGACCATATATAGCTGCATTGTCATGTCAAAGAAGTATGAATCGGTATATGTTCTCCTAAATTCACCATCAAAGGCATGATTTTGGTTCGTGCCAAGTGTTCAGGCAGCAAATCTCGGTGTTGAGTTTCAGTCCCAAGAACGTTTTTTTTTTTTAACCATGTGCCGACTTAGTCCCGACTGTTCACACACACATTTTAGCCATTATTATAGTCATATCAAAGTCTGGTTTCAATAAATCTGAACAAATATTTGTTGCTTTTACTTGAGTAAGCTTAGTTGGCAGTCATTTAATCCATTAATATTTTTTCATCATCTTTGATATTGTTTATTCAAATATTAACAAATGTTTGCCCTGTTAGGTACACTAAGTACACCAATGCGTGGGTGAATAGCGAGGGGTTTATGTTGTTTTGTTGATGGATACTGGTAGGTAGGTGAGTGGTAGCATGACTGATTGTATACTGCAAGTTGAAAATATAATAGAATAAGAAAGCTATACCTGTGTGCAGGAATTTGCCATTCCTTTACTTGTATAGTAATGTCGCATAGTGTACCCATAGACCTAAATGCATCCAATGTTGCTAGAACTGAACTAGGTTGACATGCGTCTTGGTAGAACATTTCTCTGCATTCACCCATTGTTGGCAAGAATCTGAAAAGACAATTTATAATAGGTCAGCATCATTCACATCATGTGACAGGTCACCTGACAACTATGCGAGTTAGGTACCTTGATTTGGTCAAATGTTTTGTGATAAAATAAAGGAGGCAGTATAAAACAAACTGTATTTGGCCAACAGTTTTAAAAAGACATCCAACTTAGCTAAAAAAATGATTTTATGATTGATGACAGTTGTATGTACATGACCAATTATAATCGGGCTGATACTATGATTACTGTGAGTTCTTGGTATTTACAGAAATTTGTGACAAGAATATCAAGGTCAAGATTCATAAATAGTTGAAGATTACTAAGGATTTCCATAGATTATTTTCAGCATTATTATGGCACTATCAAGTCAGTGAACTTATGATCTGTGAGCCAAGGAAAGCTAATCCTACAATACTAGGAATGGTTTGTGTTACATACATACAACTCTTGTTGTTTTGCTACTGTGCAGCGTTTAGACTTGTCCAAACTACCTTGGTTTCCATATTAGTATTAAATGCATGTGCTTATCATATGTGAATAAAAAGATGCGGTGGATGGTAAAAATAGGTCACATTTTTATGATGCAATTTTGGGTTTGTATGCATTATTAGAAAATATACTACTTGGATTTTGGTGGGCAGAGTTAAAAATAGGCATGAACTGATTGATGATAATCTATTGAGATCCAACACAAATAACTGACAAATGGAGTAAAAATAATCAGAAACATAATTTACAATGTCAGACTGAATGAATGATGAGTAGAAACTATTGATAGGTAAATGTTCTGTGTTTGTTGTACAATATAATGGATGCTTTATATGAGGTGAAATTAGCATTGACAAAGTACACGCCTTTATACACCATTTACTAACTCTCAGTGAGTTACTGTACGGAACATAATTTAATAATGGCTGGGTTGAATTTTCACTTATTTCACTGATAAATATATTAAAACCCAGTGAGTATGTAAAGTTAAATACTAGTATAGAACTAATCCCAAATGACACTAGATGTAGGGGTAAAATGGCACTAGGTCTAGGGGTTAAATGGCACTAGATCTAGGGGTAAAATGGCACTAGATGTAGGGGTAAAATGGCACTAGATGTAGGGGTAAAATGGCACTAGATCTAGGGGTAAAATGGCACTAGATCTAGGGGTAAAATGGCACTAGATCTAGGGGTAAAATGGCACTAGATCTAGGGGTAAAATAGCACTAGATCTAGGGGTAAAATGGCACTAGATGTAGGGGTAAAATGACTTTAGATCTAGGGTTAAAATGGCACTAGATCTAGGGGTAAAATGGCACTAGATGTAGGGGTAAAATGACACTAGATCTAGGGGTAAAATGGCACTAGATCTAGGGGTAAAATGACACTAGATCTGGGGGTAAAATGGCATTAGATCTAGGAGTAAAATGACACTAGATGTAGGGGTAAAATGGCACTAGATCTAGGGGGTAAAATGGCACTAGATCTAGGGTTAAAATGGCACTAGATCTAGGGGTAAAATGACACTAGATCTGGGGGTAAAATGGCACTAGATCTAGGGGTAAAATGGCACTAGATCTAGGGGTAAAATGACACTACATCTGGGGGTAAAATGGTACTAGATCTAGGGGTAAAATGACACTAAATCTGGGGGTAAATGGCACT